GGTGTTTCGTACATAAACCACAGGCTACGGGTTGAGGTACACACTGTTTATTCCAGCGTAGTGGAAGAAGACTGCAATAATAATAATTTTTTTACAAAAAGTAAAATCGCACGCAGTGAACATGTTATGAACTAAGTATATAAATGCGCATATACAATACATTTTATATATATATTTATATAACTGTTCAATCTTACTCCACTTATTTAATTATTACTAATCTATGATTTTATAGATATAAAAAATCATAGAGGTATAACACAATGATACATTACACAGGTGACTTTATAAGATCACATGTTTACAAAGAGTCTGTACAAAGAAACCTACCCTGTGGGTGACACGCGAGTGTCTTCACACCAAGTGTCTTCACACCAAGTAGCCGGAAAGCAAACTCGTAATTAAGTAAACCTATAAAAGGGATAATGCATTGATCAAATGTATTTCTTGACAACCAGATAATATATAAAGGGCTACCATTATACTTACTGGAACATATATACATAAGTGTGACCACTATGAAATTCTACAATATTACCAACAATATAGGATGATATATATATCAATCTTACATCAGACAGTAAACAGTTACAAAACAATTACTAGCAGCATATTGACCAGATTAAACAAAGAAAATAAACCGTATGCATATCAATCGCTCGATTGTCTGGTCCAGCCTCGATTATTTACAGACAGCCGTCATATAGCTGGAATGTTGCTGAGTGCGGCGTTAAACAAACAAATCAAAAACAAAAACCTATTTTATGCAATGATTTATATTAGACTTTAATCTACAACTTATATAACAACTAAAACGTATAACTAACCTTTGAGTTGTACACTATTCAAGCTGGTGTTCAATCCTCATGCAGTGATAGTGTGACTAGTTAGTAACATGGCGGATGACATGTATATTTGAAACAGGGCCAATCAAGTGAGAAGCAAGGCCTGGGCCGTTGTTAAAAAGACAATAACAAGACAACAGACCAACCTAAATACCCTTATACATAAAATGTGACCAGCCCTGTGACACAGAACTGTGCAGTAAACATAAAAGCAAAGAGAAAGATGGTGAGGTGAGGTGATATTGGGTTTAACGTCGCGTCCAAGATTATTGCACTGATATAGCGACGTGCATGCACGTGTGTGTGGCTGCTTGTACTAGTCCGGACTGAGTGAGTGAGTGAGTTGGGTTTAACGCCGCTTTTAACAGTATTCCAGTTATATCGCGGCGTGTCAGCTTTATGTGGGAGGAAAGCCCGAAGTGATGCAGGTCTAAGACGTTTTCCACTTCGGTGAAACCCACGAGCACGGGTATGGTGCTGACAAACCTAGAAACATAATCGGGGCGAACCGGGATTCGAACCCACAATCATAGGTTTCTGGCGTGCCCAAGGGACGCAACTCTGCACAGCGAATCGCGGCGCCTTAGACGACTGGGCCACCCGTGCCCCCACTAGTCCGGACTGATGCCGATTAATAGTGCTAGCCCACTGAGATACCATGCCGCAGTTTAACATGAATACCCCACTCAGACAGTATACTGACTCCGAGCCGACCAGTCCTTGTTTTAGCCCCTTAATGCCGAGCGCCAGACAGGGTAACAACAAGTACCATCTTTCAACGTCTTTTGGTATGACGCGGCCGTGGATCGAACCCCGGACCTTCCGCTCTCCGGGCGGGCGGACGCTCCAACACTGGACCACGGAGGCGGTCAGAGAAAGATGGACTGACAACTAATTGCAACTAACGTGCAACTAACGTACACACACACGTCTGCCGGATGACTAAAACCTGAAATAAGATTAGAATGATTAATTATACATTAATGTACACGATATATTATCACTAAATTAATCCCTGTTACATATATCCGACTAGATGGTTTGAGAAAGATACAAGAAAAGAGTTCGTCCAGTTCTCAATTTAAGATAATAGCATACCTAAAACTGTTGCTTTATGTAAAGTCTTCTAGAATCCAAACGAAATCCAAAGCTGCCGATGCCATTAGATCACTATTGACGTTTGCTCAACACACACAGACAAACAAATCTCAAAAGTCAGTCAGAGCAACATATTTATCTCCCTACCAAGTGTGTTTCTGCGATCCGCTCTAATGTTGAAAAAAAATCATGCTCTGGTGTGTTCCTGCGATCTGCGCTGTAGTGTGCGTCAAAAACGTGTTCTACGTCCTCACACTGGTAGTACACTTCCTAGAACAGATCAAGGACATTCTCACCCCTCGATCAAAATTTATCCGCATAGGTTGCAGGGGACCTATTTAAGCCAGAATCCAAGGGTTGTTTATGGTGTATGGTATCTGACAATCTCATTAAAATCAGATCTTAGTTCTCGCTACCGCTAAACAAAGATCTGAGGACATCCCATTACAGGTCACGTCAGACCGACCTTGCGCGAACTTTGACTGACCAATGGAATGACCAATCAGAAGGCAGCTTTCTCGTGCTTTACGGCACTAATTTCAAATTGGCGACTAGGCTTCGAAACATATTTTGACAAATTCTCGATAACAAATTTGAAACCTGAACAAAAGAACATTCTGGAAAGGCTAATAGATGGGCTAGATTGTATGGATTCAGTCGTTAAACCCGTAACTATCGTTAGGAATAAAGTTTTCGAGGTTGCATAAGAAATCACATTCTGACTGTCACTTTCATAATCTGGTAAGCGACGCTCTGATTGTTCGGATGAAAGGTCGTTCTGACGTGACCCCTAATTGGATGTCTTCAGATCTTTGTTTAGCGGTAGCGAGAACTAAGGTCTGATTTTAATGAGATTTGGTATCTGATGAAGTTGCATCAAGATATATTGAAAGGTTTATGAGTTAAGTCCATCAAACCCTCATTTGACGCCACGTTCAACAAGCAAAAGGTACCACTTCATAGCATTCCTGATGTGTATACAAAGATTGATAAGGAAATATTCTTAGTTTTACCTCAAAAACGAAATATGACGGACGGATCTTCGTTAAGGTAGGTGATAATTTTTGTTGCCTGCCAAAAATTGTTTTAGATGGTGTTCATCGTATTTCCTCTGCATCGGTAGAAGCACAGTATAATCGGCATATAGACTGACGAGCTAAAGAAACGAAGTATCGGTAAATTTTATGTTATTTTGAGGGGGAACAAATGTTTTAACCGAAAACTGGAAATGATCGCCTGAATACAACCAACAGATCATGCACATGGTCCGTGCATTTCGGGCAGTTTGATTTTCTTACTATCAATTGTCAAAAACGCGTAATTTTACAAAAAAAATCTTGAAAGAGTTGCATGCACGTGAGGCATAAAAGAAAAACGTTCAACAATACAGTATGATACTATCACATATAACAATCCCACACAGAAGATTAACGGCAAAAGAAAGATCGTGAGAGAGGCTATCTGGAGCTCTTGGTGTATCAAATATGGGCACATGGGGATATATGGCCAGCACATTTAGTGCGGCATTTAAAAAAAAATGAACAATATCTAATGCGTGTGTGTGTGTATGTTACTTACAATCGAGGAAAAAATGAAACGTTATGTAATGTTATTACAGGTATACGTAACACATATTATGTTAGGGGGATAATATAAAAACAACAGCAAGCAGAACAGTGCAGATCCGAGTTTTGGAACTTGATCTTGTGTGAGTATTTTGAAGACTTGTCAGCAGAGGTGTGACCCTCATCCCCAAACGCGCCCTGGGCTTGACTCAAAAATGGCAATGAACTTTGTGAAATCTATGACACTCTTGACACCTACAGTCGGCCCTAGTTTTATAACCTGGCTCAGGCCGCTTCTTCAAAGGCTACATCGTCCGCCGTGAGCGGGAGAGACTGTAGTGCACGCGCCGCAAGAAATGCACGTGGTCGAAACTTGACACGACGCACTTGGAGGTACAAGGAGGGCAGTGTAGGCTTTGCAACATGTTGTTGTTGTTGTTGTTGGTTTGTTGTTTAACGCCGCACTCAGCAATATTCCAGCTATATGACGGCGGTCTGTATATAATCGAGTCTGGAACAGATAATCCAGTGATTAATATCATGAGCATCGATCCACGCAATTGGGATCGATGACATGCATCAACCAAGTCAGCGAGCCTGACCGACCGATCCCGTTAGTCGCCTTTTACGACAAGCAGAGTCACCTTTAACGGCAAGCATTGGTTTTCTGAAGACCAATTCTACCCCGGAATATTCACGGGTCGCCAGATAAATGGAAATAAATGCACTTGCATGCCCAGGATGCTGCGATTTCCTTTTTTTCTAATCAGGTAATCGTTTAACAGCAGTTTTTCCTGCGGGCGTCTGATAGTCCCGTCAGGCAATTCTCCCAATGTGTACGTTTGCTGTAAAATGGACAATACAAATAATATATATAGTCATCTAATTTTCTAAAATCTGCATACTAAATTACATCTTCCTTCAATCATTCACCTCCAACTACTGTTAAACTATTCTTTGTCGAAAGTGAACTTTGAATAAGGAATTAATCCAGCCACATCAGGCACCGGCCATTTAATAATAGGGTTTTTGTATGTACTTTAATTTGTTTGAGAAAGGGTACTTCGTCAGTCACCGCACCAAAACATACCAAGCCTCGCCACCCAATCCCGTTAGTCGCTTCTTACGACAAGCAAATTCGCCTCTTATGACAATCATGGGTTGCTGAAGACCTATTCTAACCCACATCTTCACGGGTCGACCTTACATTATAGTACTTGTTGTTACCCTGCCTGGCGCTCGGCGTTATGCGGCCAAAACAAACCCTTGTCCGCGCGGCATCAAACAATTCTTGGACAAATTATTTTGGGATAAAATCCCCCCTAGAATAACAAATGGTCCAAACCTTAATAACATCCTTGTCCAGTGAACGCTGTTTTGTGTGTTATCTTTTAAAACATATAGCAGATCCCCAAGAATGTTAAATGGTCGGCCTCTTAAAAAAACACATCATATTATTGAATTCTTTTTGATTTAATGAAAACCCTTTCACATTTATGTCAATGTGCTTTGTTGTCAACATGATATCTCGTTCACCTCGGCCTGGAATAATAGGAATTATTATTGCTGAGTGCGGTGTTAAACTTTTCTCCGAGAGGAACCATGGGTGTTCAGACAAAGCCCCCCACATCGTAGTAACACAGAGCGTAGTGCTGTTCTGAGCAGTCGGCAGTGAACAGTCTGTAATGGTCGCCAGCGTCCAGCAGCACGCATTGCTCGGAGTTGTTGGGCTGCCCTGGTCCCAACAGGACACCAGCCTCGGGTATTTGGCCTGCACCGCTCTCGGTGACCCATTCGGAGATACCGGGTCCACCCAGCCAGTACACGTTGGTTGTTGGTTTCCCTAGGAGAAGATAGACATGCATGAACGAATGATTTGAGTCAGTGAGTTGGCTTAAACACGGCTTTGAACAGTGAGTTCCTGCTTTTGTGGAAACCCATGTGAAAACAACAAAGACTTTATTCTTGAATGTGCCAATTACACTATTCCCAGAAATATCATGTTCGCTAACATTATAAAAGCTGGAACTACATGTACAATACAAAATATTCTCTACGGTGATGTATCCCTAGCTTAAAGTCACAATAACCTCATCTTCAACAGCTTTCAAAAATATATACTGTCGACTAATAGATTCGAGTAACCCTTTATCATAAATATAGAATATCGCTCTGCGACCACTTATTATTAATTACGCCATTAGTGTATAAACTGCATGCATGTATATGAATACATGGGTATCTCTGCCTCCTGTAAGCAAAATGTTAACGGTTTGTATATCCTGGTGTATGTGTGTAGATATGTGTATGTGTATGTGTATGTGTGTATATATATATATATATATATATATATATATATATATATATATATACGTATGCATGCGTATACAAGGGTATATGTGTATGTATGAAATGTGTGTATGTGTGCATATATGTACATGTATATAAGTGAATGTATGATCGTAATTATATATGTAGTCTTGCATGTATTTTGGATTACTGTGTATATACAAGTAAATTGTGTTTATATAGGCAATTCTTATGTATGTCTATGTTATTCTTGCAAAAATTATGTTATGTTCTTGTGTAAATATATTTCTCTTTGTTACTATAAATGTGTATATGAGTATGTGTATGAGTATGTATGATTATGTGTATATATGATTATGTGTATATACATATGTACATAAATAAAATCCAAGCGTATCAAATACGCAACGAACATTACAGATAAGCTACAAAAATAAAACCTGTGCGTATCATCAAAATATTGTGAACTAACCCTGCGTATTCGATTAACAAATCAGTAACTTATTTTGAAATTATAAACGGGCATTCCGTCAACCTTGCCAAACTCCACGATGATAGTTACATCACGATCATTAAAAATTTTGCCATCACACTTTCGTGTGGAAGTATCCTGGTATTTTTGAGTCCTATAAAGTTCTCGAACCCACACGACACCGGTTTGCAGGGACTAGATGAATAGTGTTTTTAAATATTTAACTTAAATACCCACATGTGTAAAAACTAGTGGGTAAAAGAAATTTGAATACCCAGATAGAATTACTGATACCCAATGATTTAAACACCAAAAGCTTATCTGGAGCTCTGACTTTTGCCCAATCCCGTTGACCATACATGTCAATAAAATATGTTTAAAACAAACAACGGTGAGTGAGTGAGATACAATTTTAAGTGACATGGGCAATATTTCAGTCACATCGTGACTATCAAAGGTTAAACATATAAATACATTGGGACTTACATAAAAACCTGCCAACGAGGGATAGTAAGATAACTAGACTTTCCACAGAAATATATTTAAAACTGGTATGTAATCATTAAATCAATAGCACTATACATAACATTACATTATAAAAACGGGCTATATATCGCCAGCAACTGAAGGTAGATCACCAGGCTAGGGACCATGGTGACTTACAGTACTTAAGCTTCCTGCATGGACCCCAGCCGGATTTACATCACCCCTTCAGGTGTTGGCGATTATTGACAGATTTAGCCGAATTAAAAGAACACATATTCTACGATCAAAACTGTAGTTGGAATAACATACTTTTAATGATATGGGTTTACGATACCCTCTCAGGTGGACAATAATTTTACACTACTTTAACCCCTTTAACCTTCTTTGAGGACACAGCCACGATCCATCACAGATATTGATTTATTCCACTAACGCAAGAAAGTCATTTATTTTATACAAAGCAAATTAACAAAATTTATTAAAACAACCCTATTTCTTTTAAAAAGCCAATAACTAAATGAGAACTAATAGTGTTAAAAAGATCCTTCATCGATTTAACCTTGAAATATTTATCCCTTGTGATGGAAAAATCAACACAGTCAAGCATGACATGCTTGACCGTGATTCTTTCATCACAAGGGATGCAGAACGGAGGATCCTCACCTTTCAATAAATATTCATTGGTGTAACGCGAATGGCCGACGCGACATCGTGGTAAAATGACCTCTTCAAATCTGGACTGACAACCCAAGTAGGTTTAACCCACGTGTGGTTTAATGTCATGTAAATTTATTGATACCTACTTGGGTGTCCCACTTCTTTTGTATCAGATCTCGTATATATGATCCAATCACAGGCCTGTAATCAGTGTATGGAATAAGAAGTGGTGTCACAGATTTGTTGAGTGCTGTCGCTTTGAACTGTACTTTAGTAAGATGTATATCACCGTGTGTCATCTTGATGTGTAATGTAAATAATACCACAATAATCTCTCTCTCTCTCTCTCTCTCTCTCTCTCTCTCTCTCTCTCCTACGCAGGAGAGAGGTAAATCACGATTATATTATTTAAATACACTTTACCATTTGAACGCGTAAATATGAGACTTTTCTAATTATTGCACTACAAGAACGAAAACATATCATCATAACACATAACAAGGACGTTAAGAGATGGTACTTGTTGGTACCCTGCCTGAAACTCGTCATAAAGGGGATGGTTGGCTCTCAGTCAGTCTGTGTCTGGTGTGGTGTGATATCAATGTTAAAGGCTCTCTCTCTCTCCCCCCCCCCCCCCCCCATCTCTCTCACTCTCTCCCTCAGCACCATACCCGTGCTCGTGGGTTTCACCGAAGTGGTAAACGTCTGAGACCTGCATCACTTCGGGCTTTCCTCCCACATTAGGCTGACACGCCGTGATATAACTGGAATAATGTTAAAAGCGGCGTTAAACACAACTCTCTCTCTCTCTCTCTCTCTCTCTCTCTCTCTCCAGTTACAGGTACGTTTTCAAGTGGTTTCAACTCACTGAGGTACTGCAGCTGCATCACGATACATCTGTGCTCCCAATCAGACCAGATCTCCAGCAGGTAACTTGAGATGTCACCACATGCCGCCCCAGCATCGGCCCAGGTCATCGGATTTTCCAGAACCGGCATGCAGAACCCACAGGAGCTCTCTAAGCAGGGACCAGGGTGGATATCTGAAAACATGTTGGTTGGTTGGTTTGTTGGTTGGTTTGTTGTTTAACGCCGCACTCAGCAATATTCCAGCTATATGACGGCGGTCTGTAAATAATCGAGTCTGGACCAGACAATCCAGTGATTGACATCATGAGCATCGATCCACGCGATTGGGATCGATGACCTGCATCAACCAAGTCTGCGAGCCTGACCACCCGATCCCGTTAGTCGACTTTTACGAGAAGCATAGCCACCTTATACGGCAAGCATGGGTTGCTGAAGACCTATTCTACCCCGGATCTTCACGGGTCTTAACATGTAATACCATCACAATTTTAATAACTTTAGAAAGAAGTCATCATTTGTGTGTAGTACTTCTGGTCAAGACAAACTGACTATTGTGTCATAAATCATTGGATGTGCTCCCTGGGGTATCGGGTGGTCAGGATCGCTGACTTGTTTTAAGCTCATGCTCATGATGTCAACCACTGGATTGTCTAGTCTAGAGTCGATTATTTAAAGACCGCCGTCATATAGCTGGAATATTGCCGAGTGTGCCTTTAAACAAAACAAACAAATAACAAATTCTGCTTATACAGACCTTCATTTCTTAAAAAAACATCCATGTCCGGCAGAGGCGTCCAATCATGTTCAACGTAGTAGTCGACGTTCAGGAGGATGCACAAATCTTCATCTCCGTGGTAGCCGAAGGCGGTGACATTTCTTAACAGGCTTTCAGACGCACATGCTAGTGCACTATCAGGGAACAGTTCCTCCACCGGCTCAAGGTAGGAAGTGTCATATCCAGTGTCCATTAACTTCCAAAAGTCAGATATGGACGCAGGTTCTACCGCTGACGTTACCAGAATTGACAGAAGTAATTTGGCAGCGAGGAATTTAATCGTCACCATCTCGAACAAAATGTTTCTACTGATGACACTCGTCAAACACAACTGTACATAACGATTTGTAGTGCACCTCCTGACACTCTCTGAGCAGTGCCATTTAAAGGAGCGAAACATTACTCGGCAATCATTGCAAAACATACACTAGTACATATCGATATCTATTAAAGCAACATTGTGTTCCTTTTCCAGCATTAGCAGTCTTTCAGAAGAGACCTTATCTGTGAGACCATTAATCCTGTCAACAGCATCCTGTTTATTCGCTCTCTTATGCAGTCAGTACACGTTAATGGATTATCGTTGATACCCATTATAAGCACGCTCCTGTTCCTCGCATTTCACTGTGGCGACGTTTTAACATGAATACGACATTTCGATGTCAAACATGTCTTTGTTTGGCTATTTATCGATCAATAACTGTGGCATTATCAGTTTGTTTCAGCTAATTTTTAACTTGCTGAAAAGGGTGAATTGCGTGAACTGTTAACTGTGGTATTTGCACAGTTGAATATACAATCGACCTTCGTTGTGTGGAACTTGTGAGGACCGGGGTTCGAGACAACCAGGTAAATTTCCGAAAACCAAACATGTTGTGAGAGATTAATACATGTTGTTGTTGTTGTTTACCGCCGCACTCAGCAATAGTGAGTCTGTAAATAATCGAGTCTGGACCAGACAATCTAGTGATTGACATCATGAACATCGATCCAGTCAACTGGCGTCTATGACATGCATCAACCAAGTCAGCGAGCCTGACCCCCGATCCCGTTAGTCGCCTCTTACGACAAGCATAGTTGCCTTTTATGGCAATACCAAGATACTTGTTGTTACCCTGTCTGGACCTCGGCATTAAGGGGCCTAAACAAGGACTGGTCGGCTCGGCTTCAGTATACTATGCCTGAGTAGGACATTCATGTTAAACTGCGGCATGGTATCTCAGTGAGCTGGCACTATAAATCGGCATCAGTCCGGACTAGTACAAGCAGCCACACACACGTGCATATACGTCGCTACATAAGTACAATAATCTTGGACGGGACGTTAAACCCCATTTCACCTCACCTCACCTCACCTCAGAAGACATTGCCACCACTGTCCTATACTTTGTATTAGCGATCTTAGCACTAAGACGATCGGCACGTCCATACACTTACGACAGTCGTAACGCTAAGATCGCTTTGTGGAACAGGGCCCTGTAGAAATCGGATAATAAAAAACGAGCATATCACCAGCGAGTCTGACTACCCGATCCCATGAGCATTTGTCGCTGAAGATCAATCTTACTCGGATCTTCAAGGTACGTTTGTAAAATGACCCAAACGTGGCTTGCCAGAGTTTAATCGGTGTCACCCAACACATGACTATAAGTATTCAAAACATGAAGAACGAGAAGAAATATCGCTTCCCAAAAGAACCTGGGTGACAGTTGAACCGTTCAGCAACATAGTAAATCTTCATTTAAAAGTTGCCTCTATTCTGTCTATTATTCACTTTATTCAGATGTTTTGTAGGCCATAGGCCCATGATACAATGGTTACAGTGTGGTAATGGGAGTTGGAGATCCCAACAGACTTTGCCTTAGATTCATAGCTTTCAGAATATACATGGCTAGTTTCTTAACAGTAAATGGGTTGGTAGATGACATTAAAATATTGTACTTATGTCTTGTCGGGAACTCATAATAATGCAAGGATATATATTCTGACCTCAAAGCTTGATAACAATCACGATATAACCATGTTTACAGACAGTACAAACTCTTTCTTCTCTAGGTTCCTTGTTATGTCTACCTGATTCAATTCTTAGATGATGAGAACTCCATCTGAAACGTGCCATAATACTTCTAAATTTATCACATGATAGCCTTGTAATATACATTTCAACACCAAATGTTTGCTTATACAAAGAATAATAATATGATTTCGAACTTTCATGTATAGCTGAATGCCAGTCTTGTTGGTACGATAATTTTAGCCTCACAAAAAAATCCTTTATGAACAAAGGTATATTTGCAACACACTGTTGATCCCATATAAAACCAAATCCTGCTGACACAATTATGTGTCTAATTTTGGAAACCCAGTTTACTTTACCATTACTTACAGCTTGCAGTTGCATATTATAGCATTTCTTTACATATCTAGATTCTGGCATTTTCAAAATTTTGCACCAATATTTAACAACTCTTTTATAAGCATAAATGTATAGAGGATATCGGCCACATTCACCTCTTATAACGTGATTTGAGGTGGAGACCTTAACACCTAAAAAGCGCTTACAAGCCATCATGTGGATACTTTCAATATCATTACAAATTTCAGGACTCAGACCCCATATTTCTGCTCCATATAGCAAAATTGGGCTAATTTTTGTATCAAATATTTTAAAAAATAGATCAAAGGGTATGGGCTTAAAGTTGGACAGAGATTTCAGTATGCCACATAGTACTTTCTTAGCTTGTAGTGCTGCAACCTTAACATGTTTACCCCATGATAAAGTTCTTGTAAAAGATAAACCTAAATATTTATACGAGGTTACACACTCAAGACTGGAACCATCAAAGTTCCATTTCTCATACTTTGATAAAACACCACCTTTTTTAAAAACAATGACTTTAGTTTTTTCCAGATTAACACACAAATGGTAGGTATCACAAAAATATTTTAACGTATCAATACGTTTCTGGAGACCATAAACAGTGTCAGAAAGCAAAACAACATCATCTGCAAATAATAAAAAAATAGTTAAATAAGTTCAGGATGAAGCTGTATGCCTGTTGAACATGATAATTCTATATCCATTGCCAACTCATTTATAAGCATAGAAAATAATAATGGACTTAAGACGCATCCCTGCCTTAAGCCAAGAGGACAATGAAATTCTTCAGAGAAAATATTATTTGACCTTACACTAGCCTTAACACACTTATATATAGACTTTAAAGAAAGTAAAAACTTGGTGGATACACCCTGCTGCATTAATATAGACCACAATTTAGACCGATCAACAAGGTCAAAAGCCTTTTTAAAATCTACAAATAATGCATAAATTTTGCCATGTTTTTTTGCTAAATAACGCTGAATGACTGCTTGTAAAATATAAATGTTGTCTATTGTACTATATTCTTTCCGAAAACCAGCTTGGGATTCCACAATTTTATCATATGCACTGGACCAAAAGGATAGCCTGTTATTTAAAATTGAAGTATAAAGTTTACTAAATACACTCAATAAAGTTATTCCTCTATAATTATTGGGTAAGGAGGTATCACCTTTCTTATGTAATGGAATTATTATGCCAGTACACCAAGAATGTGGAAAGCTACCTGTGTCAAAAATATTATTAAAGACAAGTTCAATATATGGGACTAAAATATCCTGAGCAGCCACAAAGAACTCTGGTATTATATGATCCAACCCTGCAGACTTTGAACATTTAAGCTGTGAAATTGCTTTTAATATTTCCTCTCGGGAGATAGGTGAATCTAAAATATTCTTAGAGACATCATCAGTTAAGGTATTTACACATGGTTCAACAACGTCATCAAAACACTCATTGTCGACTTCACTAGCATCTTCATGTGGGTCTGTCGAATAAACAGAACTATTAAACAAATCATTAAAATGCTCATACCACATGACTGTAGATATAGGTGATATATTATTACTAGATGATAAACAATCTCTCAATATTCTCCAAAAATCTTTAGCATTATTAATGTGTGACAATAATTTAACTCTAATCTTCTCAGCATACAGTCTCTTTTTGTTCCTAAGAACAGTTGTGTACAGATTACGGGCTGTAATAAAGTTCTTGTAATACCTTCGTATTAATGACACAACTCGAGCTCAATACGAGCCAACTTTACTTCAGCCATGTGACGGTCAGTACAAAAACTTGGTCCGGCAATCTCAAATCAACAATACATACAAAACTCGAATCTGTAAACGAAACAGGATCCATTACATCCCCTTTTTTCCATAAGCTAAAAATAAAGATAACACTACTTTAAGTGTCACACTGTTAAATGAAATGTCTGTCTCTCTGAGCACAATAACTTTATCACAAATAAAACCATTATTGCAATTTTAGAGTCACTCAGAGAATCGCTGTGGTCTGAAGATTGGTCGACCACTTGATGAGAATGCAATGGGGTTCTTCGATGGAACAAGGCTTTGCGACACATTCATGTCTGGAGGAGTGTCTGGAGACTGTACAGGAACATTCTCTGGAGTAGCATTAGTTGCTCCTTGAGTGGTTCCATCAGGACTTTGGATAATACTGCAGTCGTCAGGAAGATTTTCCTTTGTTGGAATCAGGTCATGCTTGTTCCGTCGGTACTCTGAGCCACCTTGAGTTCTTACTACCAAAGAACGTGGAGTGCTTGCAGATTTCACAACTTTAGCTGGGATCCAGTCCTTCCCTTGCCTCAATCGCACACTGTCATTCACCTGTATTGGTGGTCTTGGATGAGCTCTCTGATCATAGTAGACTTTCTGGGTCTCTCGTGACTGTGAGATTGCTTGTTTCACTACATCACAGTCAACAACTTCAGGTCTGAGCATTGCATATTGCACCGGTAAGTCACTTCTCAACCTGCGTCCCATCAGCAGTTGCGCTGGTGAGGCGAGTCCATTTATAGGCGTATTCCTATAAGCCAACATTGCCAGATATGGATCTGCATGACTCTGCCTAGACTTTCGTAACAGCTGTTTGAGAGTTTGGACTGTCTTTTCAGCAAGACCATTGGCCTGTGGATACAGTGGTGACGACGTTATGTGTTCAAACTTCCACTTGTCACAAAAGGTCTTAAACTCAGCGCAGGCATACTGTGGCCCATTATCAGAGACAACACGCATAGGCACGCCATGTCGTCCAAAGATGGACTTGATATGTGTGATGACTGTAGAAGCCTTTGTGTTGGTTAACAGGGCTACTTCAAAATACCTGCTGTAGTAGTCTACTACTACTAAATACTCTCTTCCATCCATATGGAATAGATCTGTGGCTACTACTTGCCACGGGAGGGTAGGTACTTCACTGGAGATCATGGGTTCCTTACAAGGACTTTTCCTGTGCTCTTGACATACTGCACACCGCTCTACTGTTCTCTCAATATCTTTGTTCATACACGGCCAAAAGAGAATCTCTCTAGCTCTTTCTTTCGACTTGGTCATGCCTTGATGACCACTATGAATGCATTGAAGCATTTCAACTCTGAGTTTCGAGGGAATGACTACTTTACTCCCCTTGTACACAATTCCATCAACACAGGAGATTTCCTCTCGAAACGTCCAAAAGTCCTTGACTTGAGCGGAACAGTCTACGTGTGTAGCTGCCCAACCATTTTGCACTGCACTAATCACTGCCTGCAGCTGTTCATCTTCAACTGTAGCAGATTTTATCTCAGACATCTTCCTATCTGAAATAGGTAAGCCTGTTGTCACCATATGAACATATGCGCTAACTTCCTCATCAAAAGAGTTCAAGTCTGTCAGCTTTTCTTCTATAAAGTGTCTGGACAGCATATCAGCCACAGGAATGTCTTTTCCTGGAATGTACTTGACAATAACATCATACCTTTGCAGTCTGATTCTCATCCTCTGGAGACGTAGTGGTACAGCGTGGAGTGGCTTCATGAAAATGCTCTCCAATGGTTTGTGATCTGACATGACAACAAATCTTCTACCCATCAAATAATGATGAAATTTCTCACAGCCAAATACTATGGCCATCATCTCCTTTTCTATCTGTGCATAATTGCGCTGACATGACGTCATAGACTTGGATGCAAATGCTACAGGGTGTCCTTCCTGTAACAGAACAGCCCCAACACCATTCTGGGATGCATCCACTTGCAGAACGACTTCTTTCTGGGAATCAAAATATCGCAGAACAGGACCTGGTGATCTTGTGATGAGATCCTTGATCTCTTGGAACGTTTGTTCATGGTTTGGAGTCCAATTCCACTGACTGTCTTGCCTAATCAGATCACGCAGGATGTGAGTTCTCTCAGAAAGACAAGGGGAATACTGTGCAAGATAAGTGAACATTCCCAGATAACCTTCAAGCTCCTTCTTGCTTGTTGGAGTTGTCATTGTGCGTACTGCTTCAACTTTATCCGGGTCTGGTTTCATGCCATCAGAGGTAAGTATTTCACCAAAGAATTTCACTTCCTGCGAACACAGTTGAGTCTTGTCTGCATTTAACTTGATACCACTTTCTTTTGCAGTCATAAGAGTGTCCATGAGGTTCTTGTTATGTTCCTCAATGGTTCTGCCACTGATGAGAATATCATCTACTATTGGGTGAGTACAGTTCAGTTTATCGAAGATTTTGTCCATGCGCTTTTGGAACACTTCACTGGCACTTTTAATTCCAAATGGAAGCCGTAAGAACCTATATCTACCACATGGAGTGTTGAACGTGGTCAACATGGAGGAGTCGTGGTCAAGTTGTACTTGCCAGTATGACGATTTCGCATCTAGGACTGTGAAGTACTTGTGGTCAGCAATCTTTGAGGTCACATCTTGTATCGTGGGCATTCTGTAGTGCTCACGTTGTATCGCCTTATTTAGGTCAGCTGGGTCAAGGCACAACCTAATTTCGCCACTGGCTTTAGGGACGACCACCATAGAATTTACCCACTCAGTGGGCTCTTCCACTTTCATGATCACTCCCAAGTCCTCCATTCGCTGAAGTTCGACTTGAACTTTCTCATGTAGGGCAATCGGAACTTTTCGTGGAGCATGTACTACTGGTTTCACTTCTGGGTCAAGCTGAATACTGTACTTGTCTTCAAGACATCCTAAGCCTTGGAAGATATCTGGAAACATCCTGAGTATTTTCTCAGAACTACTTGCATCAGTAATCAGGCGTTCAATGTTCAACAGGACTTTTATCAGGTTTAAGTCCTCACAGGCTCGAAGTCCTAACACTGAGGGTGCCTCTTCTTGCACTATATAGAACTTTAGGCGTACAGACACATTTCTGTAACTACAATCCAGGTAAGTCATACCTGCAATTTTCAACCACTTCTGTCCATAGCCGTAAAGCCTTGTGTCCGGTTTCTCAAGAGGACCTGCAAACTTGCAGACTTTTAGAAAGTCTCTCTCTGACATAGCATTAACTTGTGCTCCTGTATCTATCTTCATAGCTACTATGAACTTCTTGTTCACTAGAATATCTGCATATTGTTCTGAATAGTCTTCACCACTTTCACCCTTTCTATCCTCTATTGTCCCAATAAAGAGTTCATTAGTCTCTAAACTGTGGACTTTTGGGTTGCTTTGACCTTGTTTCCATCTTCCAGACCCTCTTGAGTTCTGTGTTTTAGGTGGATTCCTTGCTACTGTTCTGGACCTACAAACTGATGCATAATGTCCAAATTTGTGACACTTCAAACACTCAGCACTTCTCGCAGGACACATGTCATTCTTTGAATGTGATTTTCCACATCTTTCACACATATCACTACTTGTTTTCACACTAGCCTGTGCACTTGCTGAATGCTTCTGACTACTGTCGCCTAACTTTTCTGATGAGTATAACCACCACTTCTCTTCTGAATGCTACAAACTGCCTCTGACTGAATTTCTTTCATCTGTTTTTTACTCACTTCAAAACTTCTCGCTATTTCAAGGGCCTTATTTACTGTCAAATCTGCTTCTCGTAACAGTCTTTCTTGTACTTGTTTGTTACTCGTTCCACAAACTATTCTATCACGAACCATGTCATCAGCAATCGCACCAAAGGCACAATCTTTCGCGAGGGTTTTGATTTCTGTCACATATGAATCCACTGTCTCATTTTGGCCCTGAACACGTGTATTAAAGCGAAAGCGCATGATTGTCACATTCGTTTTAGGAATACAATAGTTTTCAAATTGTGTGTACAGAGGTTGCAATTTATCCTTTTCTTCATTTGTCAATGTCCAAGTATTAAATACATCTCGGCCCTCCTGACCAATGTACAACAGAAAATAGCTACACTTTTCCTTTTCATCTTTCGCCGCGAGTGGTCCACTGAACAGCAATTCTATCGTCTGTTTCCACTTTTTCCAACTTTCTGCCACATTAGCGGCATCGAAATTCATGGGCGGAATGTCAATTCGACCTGCCATGACTTCTGACACCATGTAATACCTTCGTATTAATGACACAACTCGAGCTCAATACGAGCCAACTTTACTTCAGCCATGTGACGGTTAGTACAAAAACTTGGTCCGGCAATCTCAAATCAACAATACATACAAAACTCGAATCTGTAAACAAAACAGGATCCATTACAGTTCTGAAGAGATGTATTGTCCCTGAGTTGTCTGAATACTTTCAAAAGTCTATCTCTTTCCATCCTGGAGTAAACACATTCCTTATCATACCAAGGTTGTGACTTCGGTTTTATGGACAGATCCCTTTTCATACAGTCAGCTGCGGAGCATATAGCTGTGGTAAGTTTGTCTATAGCTGCATCAATATCAGTCATAGCTACATCAGAGCATGATATTAACATATTTAAAATACCTGGTGACATAAGGTTGTCCCTAAAATCAGACAGCTTGTCAGTGTCCCACATATATTTATAACTGGCACTTGCACCAGCACGTGCTTCTTGCCTCTCTGCATGAGCTGCCGACTGAACACATGATTGAAATGAACATGAGACCGGTAAGTGGGGGGATTCTTCTCTCGAAACAATATTAAAGCAAAGAAAACAGGTTGCTGGAACCAATAATATAGTCAATCACACTTGTTCCTGTGGAACTGATATAGGTAAAATCACCTGTACCTGCATCACGACCCACTCTTCCATTTAATATGTTCAGATTCAAAGTTGCACAGAGATCCAACAATTTTCGGCCATACTTGTTGATTTTTTTGTCACATGAATGCCTAGTAATATTGAGACTATCACACATAAAATCAAAGAAATTTATATTTAAGTGTTCGGCTATATCATCATTTACAAAATCCACATCTGTGCCTGTCCGAGCGTTAAAATCGCCACCAAGAATTATATCAACATCGCCCACTTTCTGCAGGACATCAAATAAATCTTCTTGAAATAAAGTGATACCACATCTACAGTTCTTACTGTCATACCATGACGACCCATCTGGGTTAATATAAACTGAACACAACAAGATATCTTTTTTATGAACAAATAAGGACTTATTAAATGCAATGAATACCGCATTTTCACCAATATGCACATACTTTATAAAAGATTTTAATGATTTTATAATTAATAGTGAAATTCCGCCTGATAAACGTCCATACTGGGCAGTTTTGATAGCATTTACATTATAAGCAATGTAATCTGTGAATACATCCACAAATTCAATGTCTTTTACCCAAGTCTCTGTGAGTCCAATAATATCAAATGTATCGACAAAAGAAATGAAGTTATTGTCCACTATCTTTGTCAACAATCCGCTGACATTCCAAAAAAGAAAGTTTAGTCTTTGTGCACCCTTGTCACAAACGTCACCATGGGCTCGGCCACACCCCTATTTCCTGGATCCTTCCTCATGGGGGTGCTGAGCGTGAGATCTAAGACGTCTACGACTTTCGTCACCACTGTTGGCGTTGGTGCGACTAGTATCACCACCTCCATGAACATTAGTAGACTCATTTGCAGATCCATCTTTCGAGGTTGAATGACTATCACCTTCTTTAACAACCAGCCTTCCATATTTATAGTAGCCCACTTTATTGTTCTCTCTGAGCTTCTTTAGCACATTACGCTGTTTCATGGTAAGATCATTAGAAATACCGATGAGATTCTTTCTAAGATTTTCTCTGAGACCTAAGGCCCAAACCTTGTCCTCTACATAAATGAACTTAGCAATCATTGGCCGAGGAGACTTGCTTGCTGATCCGGAACTCACAGATCCTAATCTGTGCGCTGCTGCAATGGAATCATGATTGATTTGTGGATCACCTGATTTAGAATTATTCTTTAATACTTCGCACACCATTTCCTTGCACTGTGATGTAGATTCATGGGGCATTTCTGTCAGAAACCGGTTTGGTTTGGTTTGGTTTGTTATTTAACGCCGCACTCAGCAATATTCCAGCTATATGACGGCGGTTTGTAAATAATCGAGTCTGGACCAGACAATCCAGTGATTAATATCATGAGCATCGATCCACGCAATGGGGATCGATGACATGCATCAACCAAGTCAGCGAGCCTGACCACCCGATCCCGTTAGTCGCCTCTTACGACAAGCATAGTCGCCATTTACGGCTAGCATGGGTTGCTGAAGACCTATTCTACCCCGGAATCTTCACGGGTGTCAGAAACCGGGCAATTTGAGAATATGTCTGTTGATCACCGCACCTGCCCCAGGTGCAAAAACAGGACTGTGGAAGACGAGGTGCATGTTTGAGAACTGCTGTCCGACTTTAGACGATAAACATTTTGACCCTTTTCAATATGCATCCTACATAAACGCATAATTGTATAGTTTACCACTTCTAGATTAATCTTTATGTTTACTGTCCACTGAATATATGTTAAAGGTTTGAGCCCAAACCTACCTTTGTTTATATTTCTATTATTTCACAACTTGGCATACAACATGTCCAGTGAACGATTTATTAATATTTCTATGTAAAACCAGAAGTATTTATTAAACGTTTTCGGGAACAGATCTTTTTTAAAAATAGAAAACGTTTCAAGTAAGTCAAACTCCGTCGTGTCTGAATGTTCACATGTCGTTTTGATTGATTCTGGGCGTTGATTCCTGTAAAAAAATAACTTTTTGTTTTGTCCTGAGCCTCAATGAAGTTGACAACTTTCTTGCAACCTACGGAAGCCTTTTCGGTTTAATTTTCAAGATGCTATGTTCTCATCATTATCTTGAAATTTCAACTTAGGTATCTTGAAATTTCAACAACAACAAAACAGCAGATGGCCCTAAAAGGTTTCTGTATTAAAGGCTTTCGTAGCATCCTCGCGCCTTTGCTAACTGTTTGTAGGAGAGTTCTTCTGTCTTTCCTGTGCTCCGGGCAATACGTAGAGAATGTCAATAAGGTCCTTCACTGAGACAATGACCGGGCTTGGTGACAGTAGCATGTGGAGTTATCATATAATCCATGTTTTAGACTGAATGTAGTGGACCCACGACGGATGTTTGGATCACGCTGCATTCTTGGTTGGTTGGTTGGTTGGTTGTTTAACGCCGCACTCAGCAATATTCCAGCTGTATGGCGGCGGTCCAGACAATCCAGTGATTAATATCATGAGCATCGATCTCCGCAACTGGGATCGATGACATACATCAACCAAGCCAGCGAGCCCGACCACCCGACATCCCAATGGTAAGAAACCAAGAGACTTATGGATGTCTGGATTGCACTGGATTAAAAACTGAAATTAATTCTTTTGTGAACGTTTGTTTCAGGGGAAGCTGTTTTTCAGGATTCAGGAATAATACGTCTCTTGAGGACATGGACTCTTGGAACCTTGGAAGCCCACATTTATGCGCTGTTTCCCAGAGTCCCCCTCTCCCTTGTGGGCTTTACGTATGCCCGTTGCGACATTGGCCGGAGAGTCACACAAATTGATCTGCAGTCCCACCTTGATCTCGAGCGCAAAGTGGGAAAGGCCAAACTTATTATTGTCCCAAACAGGGGCATCCCAATGGTAAGAAACCAAGAAACTTATTTCAGTGAAGGATCTTCTAATAAATTGCATCGTGAATATTTTTTTAGGGTCAAGGTTGTTTCAATTCATTTTGACAGAATGAGATGGACCAACAAGAGCCAGCTTTACTGCAAGAACCACCGAGCAACCAGGCTTTGCTGCAAGAACCACCGACAAACCAGGCTTTACTGCAAGAACCACCGAGCAACCAGGCTTTACTGCAAGAGTTACCGAGCGACCAGGCTTTACTGCAAGAACCACCGAGCGACCAGGCTTTACTGCAAGAGTTACCGAGCGACCAGGCTTTACTGCAAGAGTTACCGAGCGACCAGGCTTTACTGCAAGAGTTACCGAGCGACCAGGCTTAGTTGCAAGAACCACAGACAAACCAGGCTTCACTGCAAGAACCACCGACAAACGAGGCTTTACAGCAAGAACCACCGAGCAACCAGGCTTTACTGCAAGAGTTACCGAGCGACCAGGCTTTACTGCAAGAACCACCGGGTGACAAGGCTTTACCGCAAGAGTTACCGAGCGACCAGGCCTTGCAGCAAGAACCACCGAGCAACGAGGCTTTACTGCAAGAACCACCGAGCAACGAGGCTTTACTGCAAGAGCCACCAAGCAACCAGGCTTTGCTGCAAGAACCACTGACAAACCAGGCTTTACTGCAAGAACCACCTACAAACCAGGCTTTACTGCCAGAACCACCGAGCAACCAGGCTTTACTGCAAGGGCTACCGAGAAACCAGGCTTTGCTGCAAGAGACACCAACCGACCAGACTTTACTGCAAGAACCACCGAGCAACGAGGCTTTACTGCAAGAGTCACCGAGCGACCAGGCTTTACCGCAAGAGTTACCGAGCGACCAGGCTTTACTGCAAGAACCACTGAGCGACCAGGCTTTACTGCAAGAACCACCGACAAACCAGGCTTTACAGCAAGAACTACCGAGCAACCAGGCTTTACTGCAAGAACCACCGAGCGACCAGGCTTTACTGCAAGAACCACCGAGCAACCAGGTTTTACTGCAAGAGTTACCGAGCGACCAGGCTATACTGCAAGAACCACCGAGCAACTAGGCTTTACTGCAAGAACCACCGGGCGACCAGGCTTTACTGCAAGAACCACCAAGCAACCAGGTTTTACTGCAAGAGTTACCGAGCGACCAGGCTTTACTGCAAGAACCACCGAGCAACTAGGCTTTACTGCAAGAACCACCGGGCGACCAGGCCTTGCAGCAAGAACCACTGAGCAACGAGGCTTTACTTCAAGAACCACCGAGCAACAAGGCTTTACTGCAAGAGCCACCGAGCGACCAGGCTTTACTGCAAGAACCACCGGGCGACCAGGCTTTACTGCAAGAACCACCGAGCGACCAGGCTTTACTGCAAGAACCACCGAGCGACCAGGCTTTACTTCAAGAGTCACCGAGCGACAAGGCTTTACTGCAAGAACCACCGAGCGACCAGGCTTTACTGCAAGAGTCACCGAGCGACAAGGCTTTACTGCAGGAGTCACTGAGCGACAAGGCTTTACTGCAAGAGTCACCGAGCGACCAGGCTTTACTGCAAGAGTCACTGAGCAACGAGGCTTTACTGCAAGAGTCACCGAGCGACAAGGCTTTACTGCAAGAGTCACCGAGCGACAAGGCTTTACTGCAAGAGTCACCGAGCAACGAGGCTTTACCGCAAGAGTCACTGAGCAACGAGGCTTTACTGCAAGAGTCACCGGGCGACCAGGCTTTACCGCAAGAGTCACCGAGCAACGAGGCTTTACTGCAAGAACCACCGACCAACCAGGCTTTACTGCAAGAGTCACCGGGCGACCAGGCTTTACTGCAAGAACCACCAAGCAACCAGGCTTTACTGCAAGAGTCACCGAGCGACCAGGCTTTACTGCAAGAGTCACCGAGCGACCAGGCTTTGCTGCAAGAACCACCGAGCGACCAGGCCTTGCAGCAAACACAACGAACGGGATGGGTGATGGCGGCAGTACAGTTCCGCATGACAGGTAAACCGCAATCTGAAGAAATAAGACACTATTTCCAACCGACCCCATGACTGGTTTATCAAGTAAGGTCGGTTACAAAGGTTTTAAGACAACCGGTGGTCAAGGGCCTTCATGATCAGAACGGTTATGTTTACATGCCCAACTTAACATCAATGGACACTTCACGACTTCTTAAAATGAATGCTTTATGATACGGTGGACTCTGATTTTAGCAAAGATTTCTTATGAATATGAGTGAGTGAGTAAGTTGGGTCTAACGCCGCTTTTAACAGTATTCCAGTTATATCGCGGCATGTCAGCTTAATGTGGGAGGAAAGCACGAAGTGATGCAGGTCTTAGACGTTTACCACTTCGGTGAAACCCACGAGCACGGGTATGGTGCGGACAAACTTAGAAACAAAATTTCGGCAAACCGGGATTCGAACCCACAATCATAGGTTTCTGGCGTGCCCAAGGGACGCAACTCTGCACAGCGAATCGCGGCGCCTTAGACGACTGGGCCACCCGTGCCCCCTCTTATGAATATGAGTGAGTGAATGGGTGAGTATGGTTTTACACCGCTTTTATCAATATTCCAGCAACATCAAGGCTGGGGACACCAGAAATGAGCTTCACACATTGTACCTATGTCGGGAATCGAACCCGGGTCTTCGGCGTGACGAGCGAACGCTTTAACCACAAGGTCACCACATTGTCTTTGCATCAGAGGTGGACAGACAATGCCTTTTAGAAGACGTTATTTCTCTTTTGTACAGCAAAGCAACATCTGGTTCAAAAGGCAATGGCGCGTTTCCAAATCTTGATGATAAAGAAATGGACTCATTGATAACTTTCTTTTGTATCAATGGCTACTTCGAAAAGCCAAACTGTAGGAAAATCTCAGATCAAATCACAGAGATTGCCAAGAAGCAGTTGTGTGATACCCCACGTCCTCTTCACGATGCCCTGAGACGTGGTATTCCAAGTTCACACTTGTCAGCATTCTGGGCGCTGTTTCAGCTCTCATCATCTCCCAGCGTCCTACCCCTATGAAGGTGTAGACTGTACATTGACGAAGGAGGAATTCGTCAGACCAGAGGAGGAGAAAGTTCTGTGCTTCTTGAAAGGCCTAGATCAGGAAGACCTCCTCTCCTTTCTGCATTTCGTTACAGGGTCAATCCACATGCCAGTCGGGGAAATAAAGGTATCCTTCACAAAACTGGTTGGGGAACTAAGGAGACCCATTGTACACACGTGCTCAAATCTGATAGAAATAAGAGTGCTGTGTTCCTCTTTTCAGGAGTTCCGTCGTGAAATAACGCGGTATTTGAGGAACGAATTACCTTTCCAAATTTCAATTCTGTAAGTTTAGCAGAAGGGTGGATATGATATAGTCAGTTAAGGAAATGTGAATGTACAGGTTAAGCTTAACGTCGGCTGCAAAGTCACTACGGTTAATATATTAATATACTGATAAAAGATAATGAAATATTCAAGACGTATTTTCGGAACTATGTCAAACATTTAAAAATGTATTGAAATTGTGCCACCGATAGATTCTTGGAAAGAGGGTGGTGGAAAGAATATTTTCATATGCATTAATGTGGTCAACAAAAGAATAGAAAGGTTGTCTTTCTTGATCTGGAACCCTGTCATTAGCCAATCACAATCAGAATTGAGTATTCACCAAGTCATGGCACAATGCATTGTCGATTATGAATGTTTTAAATGAAGATCTTTCTATATATAACTCTTAAGTGGCATCTTCTTTTTGTATGTTTATTGTTCAGGATACAGGAAACGTTAAGTAAATCCGCTTTGTTTGAGGTGAATATGTTTGTTGGTTTGGTTTGTTGTTTAACGCCGCACTCAGCAATATTACAGCTATATGACGGCGGTCTGTAAATAAACGAGTCTGGACCAGACAATCCAGTGATTGATATCATGAGCATCGATCCACGCAAATGGGATCGATGACATGCATCAACCAAGCTAGCGAGCCTGACCACCCGACCTCGTTAGTCGCCTTTTACGACAAGCATAGTCGCCTTTTACGGCAAGCATGGGTTGCTGAAGACGTATTCTACCCCGGAATCTTCACGGGTCGAATACATTTGTTATGAATATATCTACATGTGGATGTGTACAAGTTGTTGTTTTTCTATCAAAGTAATTGTACTGTCCATACTATTACATACAAAATTGCAAGTGATCCCGTGGCATTTCCTTGGCATTGTATGCGTTTATGTTTCCTTAAACATAAATATAATTTTCGCCACGCCAATTGTGGACTAGTGTTTACTGGTTGCTGATAACAGTACTACGCTTCACGATGTCACTTATTTCATCTTGTTGTCTTCAGCTTTTGTTATAATGAATAAATAAGCAGTCTGTGGAGTTATGATTGTTGACGTTACTCAAATTGTTGTCTCGGATTGATGATTGACAGCTTGTTGACATCTTTTACTTACAGGTATTACGTTGTCACCGCCTCCATTCATCTGCTAATTACATTTTTTTAATGGTCACATATCACTGTTTCTAAAATCTGTTCTTAATCGGGTATGAGTTTGTTTTAATAAAATTTATTGTTTGCTCTCGTTCAATCTACTGCTCTTAACAATACGTCATTTTAAAGTTTCAATTACAAGGTTCAAGGGGAAATGGTGTGGTGGTATGAATGAAATTAGAATAAAAGTGAAAAAAAGGTAATCAAAGACCATGATAATTGAGTGAGTGATTATGGTTTTACGCTGCTTTTAGCAATATTCCAGCAAAATAACGGCGGGGAATACCAGAAATGGGCTTCAAACATTGTATCCATCTCTGGAATCGAACCCGGGTCTTCGGCGTGACGAGCGAACACTTTAACCACAAGGCTACACGACCGCCCCCAAAAGACGTACTGTCTTGGGATTATAAAATCTAACTAGTTCCCTTAAAAGTCCAAATTAGAATCCGCGTAAACTTCCTGTAGTAGCTCCACGGAGTGTTTGCGTACATAATCGGACATGTTTCAAACATTCTGCGGAGTAACTGCGTAGCTAAGCAGACATTTTACAAAATTCTGCGTAGGCTTCGCGGAAATTTTGCGAAATAAAGTAAAAGACTTTTGCCATGTTGTAGATCTACTTATAAGAATTCACTTCAGTATGGCTTTCCTTATATGCCACGTGTATTTACACTTGATTTACGTTTATACCTCCATAAACACATAAAGTATTGGAGTCAATTCTTAAACAAAGGTTTCAAATCACATCACACTGTGAAGTTTTAACATATTTCACTTCGATGATAGATTACCAGTGATCAATCGATTACATGTTTTTTCGATCAATTGAAGACAGCATTTATTAGTTGAGTTGATCCTAAATTTCTCGAGCACAAAGAATAAATTTATCTTTGTGTGAAAGTTGTCCATGTATAGCGTCCTTCTGTCGACTGTTTTGTTCATCTGCTAAGGAAAGAGATGATTGACTACCATGCTCAATGCTGGTTGTTTGTGAGTCCATGTCAGTATCAGATTCCGGGGTAGAATAGGTCTTCAGCAACCCATGCTTGTTGTAAAAGGCGACTATGCTTGTCGTAAAACGGGACTAACGGGATCGGGTAGTCAGGCTCGCTGACTTGGTTGATGCTTGTCATCGATCCCAATTGCGTGGATCGATTTTTATGATGTCAATTACTGGATTGTCTGGTCCAGACTCGATTATTTACAGACCGCCGTCATATAGCTGTAATATTGCTGAGTGCGGCGTTAAACAACAAACCAAACCAAATCCTTCCCCAGCGGAAAATACAATTCTCACTAGGAGCGGATTTGGTTGGCCTTTTTAACACCAGAAACCGACTACGTTTAGGATATTAATTTGCACAATTTGCAAGAAGAGAGAGTTTACCCGCTTGATGCAAAGTTACATTTTGGTTAGTGATTGGTATTGCCCCTTGAACCTGTATTGCAATATATTGCCCAAACCAAATGTTTTCAACTTCTGAGACAAAAAAAGAAATTATTCTGTTTTAAGACTTGTTTTATTATATTTGGGTAAAAACAAACTTTCTTTTTGATTAGAAAAGACACATTATCATCATGGAGTATTATTTAGCACCAACTCATTTCAAAAGTCAAAATGATATATTTCTGTGTGACTTGTCACATGCAAACTGAGTAATAATTGTCAATGTGTGTCAATTGAATTGCCAATTTATGACATAATGAATGAAGTAATATCAAAAACAACAATCCAATTAATAATCAAATATAAATACACATTGCACAAGAACTTTGTGATATTCATCTTAATCTGATGAACCTTACATGTATATTGTCTACAACTACAAATGTTAGACTTATAGCACCATGATGCCATCTTGTTGTATTTGCCATTCTAATTAATAAACATATTAAGTGTGTATATAATGGCAGTAATCTAACACTGAGTATTACAGAAACATTAATAACAACCATGAACAAACTGCAACTTACTTACATGTTCAGTAATCAGGTTCACTGAAATGTCAACTCAACTTGAGAAAATCTTGATATAGAAAATTATGAATATCACAATCATCGATGGATTCAATGCAATAAGTTTCAAACAGTTTCACTTTCAGCCAGAAGTTGCAAAGTAAAAAGAAGAAATACCTATCACTCTTAACTAAACAATTATAACAATATTGCTTAATATTGAACTTGAACATTAAAATATGTCAACTATTGAACAGCAGACTTAACAGTTAACAAAGTCATTTAAGTCAAGTTTGAAGCATTTCACTTCTAATCTTCTAATTGGTAGTTAGTACTCTACTTCAAATTCTTCTTAAGAAATATGAGCATGTCTACATGCTTTGCTTTTAGGTTTGCTCTTTGATGTGATACAATGTATCCTGCAGTCGAAAACACTCTTTCCGATGGGACACTAGTTGCAGGGATACAAAGGTATCTTTGAGCCATTTTTGCCAGTCTTGGATACATGTCGGCATGATTTTTCCACCACAAGAGAGGATCTTCGTTGAGAGTGATAGGCTTTTCTTCTCTGTACCTTCCAACTTCCTGCTGAGCCATTTCAATAGGGGACTTGGCGGGTTCACAACTTGTTATGAAAACATCTCCTAGAAGATTCATGAGAGAAGAATCTGCAGGCTGGTTGTCTCTCTTGACTTTTGCTGGTGTAGCAACTTCATCACTCGATCCAGATGAATTATGGGATGTGGATGCACTGGATTCATCCTTCACCATGGACTCAGGTAACAGAGGAAGCTCAGGAAGGTAGGGTGGAGTTGGACCAACAGCTGTCTTGTGGTTCTTGCTTTATCATTATCAATGTGCATTTTGATGCATCTTCTGTTATTTTGCTGTACACAGCAAATTTGTCTATATCTGTCAGGTAAGGCAGCTCCTTAAACCTAGGGTCTAGGGCACAGGCGACACTGAGGAACTCATCTTGTGTGTTATATCTGCCCTTAAGATCATTTGACAGTATGGATTTCATTTCCATCACAGAAGCTGTGTCATCTTCAATAGGAGAAAGAATGTTAGTGAGTAGCTGGTGGCACAGAGGCTTCACGAGAGATACTGTAGGTGTACACTCCTTGCACAATATAGTTGTAATTTGCTTCATTGGCCCCAAAAACTTAACTTACTCCTCAGCATAAGTAAGCTCTTCTTCTGTAGGGAAAGAAAGATCACTGGTACTAGACTAGAATTTTGCAATGTCCTTGCTCATCATAACAGTGATAACTGCCACTCGCATCTCAAAAAATCTTGCAACCATCTCAAAAGCACTATTCCATCTAGTTTGGACATCAATTTTCAGCTTATGACTAGGCAAAATCAAAAGAACAGCGTTTTGTGTGAGAATGCTTGTTGCCATTGGGCTCCTGTGGAAAAATGCGACGATTCTTCTAATTTTAGCGATAACGTTGGATGTACGCTTCACCTTGAGAGATTTGTGCACTGCAAGATTCAATGTATGCGCTAAACATGGTACATGGGATGATCCAAACAGATTTAGTGCCTTTATCATGTTAGCTGCATTGTCCGTGACTACAGTGGGAGGAGGTGTTGATGGAAGTTTGCATTCGTCCACTGTATCTGTCAGAACACCAGCAACAGCTTCGCCTGGAACAAAGTAGGAATCTATAATGCATAATATGAAATAAAAATAAAAAGCCTCCCTCCCTCATCAATATTTTGGAAAAAAGTGCCAGAGAACCAAGTAATTAACTTTATGCGGCCTAATTGAAACATTCTAATTCTAAATATAACAATTTTGTGGACTAAAAGTAATTAAAACCTCAGTTAGCATTGTTCACATATTATCAAATAAATATGAATCTTTAACTAGTGGTTAGTTAATGTAGATAAAAAAAATATGTATTTGGTACCTGTGTGGCTATTCAATGGTCTGGTCTGTAGCACATAATTTTCCAACTTCCAATCTTCTGTTATGTGGGTTGATGTGATGGTAGTGTAGTTATCTGTAGGACATGATGTCCATCCATCTGTAGTCAATGACACCTACAAAAATACAATTAAAACATTCTGAAATATAAAGATGACTAAAGTACATTCATAAATCATATTTCTAAAAAATACTGCTTTTAAAACTGATAAAGATTATAAATTATACAATTATTTATAAGTTTGTTAGATATTTAGGCCTAATAATGTTACCTGCTCTGCCTTTTCCAAGTGCGAAGATATGTCTTCCTTTATTTCTTCATACATCTTGGTAATGATAACTTCGGAGAACTGTTTTCTCGATGGCATCCTGTACCGAGGATCAAGACGGGTGACTAGATCTCTGAACTCTGTTGAATCAACAATATTGTATGGACGTAGTCCCTTGATGATAAATTTGGCTATCATGTTATTGTTAGTTATCTTCGCCCTTGGTTCAAAGACCCTGTACTTCTTAGTACTTGCAAATAAATTGATTATGGTAGGTTGAGATGGGGATCGTTTTGCATTCGATCTCGTTTCTTCAATAGAATCAATAAGTGTGAGGTAACATCGTTGTTGATGGGCCTATCTTTCCCGCCAAAGTCGGATGGTGTCTTCGAAGATGCGTTGTCAAGTTTGTTGTTTCGCCGGCGTATTTCACAAACGATGTACATTTTCAGCAAACAGCAACATTTTCTTCGATTGTTTGATCGATTTTACGCTTTTTCAACCCGAAATGCTGCCACACATCGGATTTACCGCGAGTATTTCGTGATCCGCCATTTTGTTACCATGGATACGGCGAGATCTCGTAGCATATCGCGTTATTATATAGGAAGGGACGTAACTCTAATCGAACGTCACATCAGCTTTATCGATCGCCCTTATAACAACGAATTAAAACACGAAATTCAAATAGGTAATACTTTATTTAAATGTCCGCAATTTATTGCGATATTGAAACTGTAACGCAATACGTATTGGACACGAAGCCACATCGCGGTTAACCGGTATACCGGTTATACCGCGCACCTCTAATATTGGTCATAGTACGTTGTATTAAGAAACAGATTTTGAACTTTTGCCCTCAGAAGAGATGTTAATAATTGAAAATATTCCGCACAGAAATTATGAAATGATTATTGTGTTGAGATCTTTGGGTTAATTTCATAAATAAGACGACCTTCGCCGATAGACAATAAAAACAGGTTCAACAATTTCATGTCATGAAGGGTCTTTCTAGCAGTGATTTTCAGTTTTCCGCATTTCAATCATTTTGTCTATATCACTATCATCGACTTCAATAAAACGGGATTGGCTTTAGGGAGCGTACGGGACTCACTCGACGCTGTTGTTGTGCAACTTGAACTTGACCTTGATGACGTTAACGCTGACGGCCGCACACCTGATCTCTTTGATATGTCGATAAACTTGATTCTAGTCTCCCTTTGCTCCATTTCGTATTCTATTCCATCAAGTCGCCACAGATAGTTTCCTTAATTAACATTCTTAGCAATTGTTGCTTCCCACACCAATCAATTGACACTTTAATGTTTATGTCGGCCATGTTTGTTCAAGTTTATCAGGTAAACGTAGTTCAAATGGTCATAATGGTCATGTGACATGGATTGACCAATCAGTGGTTTTTAAAAGCGATATCTACAATGTTGATATCGCTTGATCTCACCCAAGCGATATCTCTTGAGGGAACCAGTTTTGGTTTATAAAGACTTTTTTTTTACCTCAAATAATTATTAAAAAAATAACAAACTTATTTACGATTTTAAAGATTTTTCAAACACGGGACTACATTTTAAGTCGCAATTACAAGGGCTGGTGAAATGTCACTGCGTATTATGTAGGAATAATTTACTTTTCATAGCTTTGCCACTCGTGAAAATATCCCCTTTTCACCGTCATGTGATGAGAAAACCAGGACATTTCACTAGACACATGAAATAATCTCTATAGTTTCCCAAACGATGAAATTTGTTCACGATAGAAATGAGATAACAGTACTGAAAAGTTAGGTTCAAGAAAACACTTTTTATTCATGAAACAGAGATGATCACAGACCTTCGGTATATTTATCAGTTAAATTATCAAGGAAGTAGATTTGACTGAGATGCAAATGTACAATATCACGGCTGCATGTACACTGATATATTTCTGATAATTTGTACATTGACATATTTCTGATAATTACAGTACTATCAGGTCTCAGGGATAACTAGAGGTTGGGAATATGAGAACAACAAACAGAATAGATAGATAAGTCACATCTTACAGACCAATCAAACATGTCCAGTCCTTTTTACAATAACAAAAAAATAATAGGGACTGAACATAAACCGAGAAGAGCTCTTGAAGACATATTATACTCTGACTCACATAGCCCTGTATTAATTCTATATTTGATAATATAACACACATATCTAAGCTGAACTCAAACAGGTTTTGCTCTGTACTGAATGTGATTCAGTATAATAGAGTGCTTTGGTTTGTTTGTTTGGTGTTCAACGCCGCATTCAGCAATATTCCAGCTATATGACGGCTGTCTGTAAATAATCGACAATCCAGTGAATGACATCATGAGCATCGATCCACGCAATTGGGATCGATGACATGCATCAACCAAGTCAGCGAGCCTGACCCCCCGATTCTGTTAGTCGGCTCCTACGACAAGCATAGTCACCTTTTACGGCAAGCTTGATTTGCTGAAGACCTTTTCTGCCCCATCTTTGCCGTAAAAGGTGACTATGCTTGTCGTAAAATGCGACTAACGGGATCGGGTGGTCAGGCTAGCTGACTTGGTTGATGCATGTCATCGATCCCAATTGCGCGGATCGATGCTCATGATATAAATTACTGGATTGTCTGGTCCAGACTCGATTATTTACAGACCGCCGCCATATAGCTGGAATATTGCTGAGTGCGGCGTTAAACAACAAACCAAACCAAACCAAAAACTATTCTACCCGGATCTTCACGGCCGGTTGCTTAGGAATATGGGTGGCATTTTCTCACTTCCTCACACAGCTGTACCAACGTGTCTGAAGTCCGGTATAGCATGTGATACCCAGTTGACCGTGGATGCCACATCCTGTAGTGTATTGCCCTAGTACAGTTATATATGAATATTGGATATATTCAGCCAAGCATTCATCACAGGTGTTTTTCATTTAACGTCACGATATATCATGGATACATGTAAATGTGCTATGTAAATTGTATCGAAATATCGAAAACCATATTCCATACATCCGAAATGGGTTTATCGTGATACAAAAAGTAAACAGGTCCTTAAAGGATTGCATGTAATTTCAAATTGTGGATAATATCTAAGTATATTTGTTTGCCCATATGAAGTTTTGGCATTAACCACAATAAGTACAGTTTCTAAAGATTTAATGACACAACACCAAGTATGTGAGTATCGCTTTCCGCCGTTTTTAGCAATATTCCAGCAATATCACGGCGAAGGACACCAGAAATGGGCTTCACACATTGTGCCCATGTCGGGAATCGATCCTGGGACTTCGGCGTGACGAGCGAACGCTTTAACCACTAGGCTTCACGACCGCCCCGATACAACCCCAGACCCGCGAAGATTCCGGGGTAATAAGGTCTTCAGCAACCCATACTTGCCTTAAAAGGCGACTATGCTTGTCGCAAAAGGCGACTAACGGGATCGGGTGGTCAGGCTCGCTGACTTGGTTGATGCATGTCATCGATCCCAATACGTGGATGTGACGTTAAACTTTAACTCACTCACTCACTCACTCACCCAATACGTGGATCGATGCACATGGTGTCAATCATTGGATTGTCTGGTCCAGACTCGATTATTTACAGACCGCCGTCATATAGCTGTAATATTGCTGAGTGCGGCGTTAAACAACAAAACCAACCAACCAGAAGTTTTCCTTCTATAACATCATATCTTTCGGTTCACAAACTACCGCTATTTGTAAAGGCTACGCTTGTCTTACTAACATCGTCAGAGAGTACAATTTCTTAAAGTTCATAAGAAGTCTTGTCTTTTTTATAATTGTTATCACATCAGATATTGTGCTCGAAAGCATGAATGCTCGTGGCCGAAGTTGTGATTATTATGACCGAATGACGGTTTGATGCCCTGTTGGCTGGGGGGATGGCAATGGGTGTGGGATTTCCGTTAGAATCGGAATATATTTTTGTCATTGCGCCATGAACTGCGAACAAATGTTTTGTTGTAAAATCTGAGGCCAAATTATTGATATTTAGTTTCATAACAAAATGGTCGGCACCTTACATATAGGATCGGCTAACCATTCTTGGAAGAGTTCAGGGGTTTGTAGCAGAGGGTGGCACTAAGTTTTGCGGGGGAGGGGGGTACACGGCAGAGGGGGGACCCGGAGGGGGGTACACGGCAGAGGGGGGACCTGGAGGGGGATACACGGCAGAGGGGGGACCTGGAAGGGGATACACGGCAGAGGGGGGACCTGGTGGGGGGTAAGCATTGTAAGCCGGGGGTTGTGGTATCTGGCCTGCATATCCACTTTGTTGGGAAGATGCGGCTGAAAAACAAATAAAAAAAACCATTAATCATTTATTATATTGACGATTTGGTGGTCACATATTAACATTATTCTACACAGTTATCTACAAAGTTTGAAAAGCAACCACCAAATCATTTGGAGCTGGAACGTCTACTGCGCTGTGAGGAGTTGACTCCGTTTGGGGTACCAGGATCCTATGACTGTGGCTTTAGTTTCCAGATTCCTCCTAATTATGGCCATACATGCACTTGTGTAAGTATCATAGCTGGGTTTGTGGGTTCCACCAAAGACTTGGTAAGATTGGTTAGTTGGTTTGGTGTTTAACGCCGCACTCAGCAATATTCCAGCTATAAGACGGCGGTCTGTAAATAATCGAGTCTGGACCAGACAATCCAGTGTTTGACATCATGAGCATCGATCCACGCAATTGGAATCGATGACATGTATCAACCAAGTCAGCGAGCCTGACCACCTGATCCCGTTAGTCGCCTTTTACCACAAGTATAGTCGCCTTTTACGGCAAGCATGGGTTGCTGACTTGGTTGATGCATGTCATTGGTCCCAATTTGCGTTGATTGATGCTCATGATATTAATCACTGGATTACCTGGTCCAGACTCGATTATTTACAGACCGCCGTCATATAGCTGGAATATTGCTGAGTGCGGCGGTTAAACAACAAACCAACCAACCAACCAACTTAATTCCATGACACCAGTCACTCATATTACTTAATTCCATGAGCCTTTGGTGTCAACATTTCACAACCTTCGAGGCAAAGAAGATTTCAGGGAGCTTCATACAATTCTTGCTCAAAAGTTGTTTGTCCAACTTTACAACATTCAAAGCTTTCAAAACGTTTGATGGTAGACATGAGGAGGACATTCCCGAATTTGACGAATCAGTGACAAAAAGTATGTCCAATGCAATACCCTTGTTGACTTGTACCATATGTTCCCGTGTCTTCTCAGGTGAATAACTGATTTGCCTTTGCATGTGTTTGTGCTCACCTTTCCTCGAACACCTGGGATCATCACTATTTGATATTGATTCATAAACATATGCTCATGATACAGTCGACATCGTACAATCGACTCTGCTATAGGAAGATATTTTATTAATCACTGGATTGTCTGTCAGACTCGATTATTTACAGACCACCGTCCTATAGCGGAATATTGCTGAGTGCGACGTTAAACAACAAACAAACCAACCAACCAAATCGTACAGTCGACTCTGCTACAGGAAGATATTTCTTATGGCTTTGGAAAGGCTGTTGTCACTTTTATTCATATTATTAATTCAAGGAGTGCTTTCAAACCTGTTGTTGACACCACCGTGGGTCCGACTGGCTGAACGCCGATGACGCGTCCTGGTCTCTTTCCTGACTTCACACAAGCACAGATGGCGACGATGACGACAACGATGAAGAAAGAGCCACCAACTGTCAATCCGACGATGAGGTGGGATGTTTCTGTAAATGTAGGGAAATAACGATCTCATATATCAGTGAGTAGGGTTTTACGCAGCTTTTAGCAATATTCCATCAACATCACGGCGGGGGACACCAGAAATGGCTTTCACACATTGTACCTATGACGGGAATCGAAACCCGGGTCTTCGGCGTGACGAGCGAACGCTTTAACCACAAGGCTACCCGACCGCCCCTCTCTCATATCAATGAATATGTATAAAAGAATACCCCACCAAGAGTATCCGCCCCCCCCCCCCCCCCCCCCCCCCCCCCCCAAACAAACCAAATGGAAGATCCAGGGTAGATATGGTATTCAGCAACCCACGCTTACCGTTAAAGGCGACAATGCTTGTCGTAACCCGATCCCGTCAGTCGCCTTTTACGACAGGCAAAGGCGACTAACGGGATCGGGTGGTCAGGCTCGCTGACTTGGTTGATGCATGTCATCGATCCCAAATACGTGGATCGATGTTCATCACGTACATCACTTACTGGTTTATTGCTGATTTTGGTGCCTTGACTCCTATGCATTAAAATAAAAAATAGTTTACCAAAATCGGACATGGGGAAGCATCCAAAAATAGGTCAAATCCAAGATGGCCACCAACAAAAGTAATAATAGTCATAAACGTGGAACCAATAATAATAAAACTCTATGGTGAGTCTATCTATATTAGCGTGCCAGGATAAATGCAATGAATGTATATTTAACATTTTTGAAAGGAAGTAAGGCTTGCTGACTTGGTTGATGCGAGTCATATAATTCCAATTACGTAGATCGATGCTCATAATGTCAACAACAGTATATGTATACAAGCTAATACCAATGGTTTGGTTTGGATTGTTGTTTTTACGCCGCACTCAGCAATATTCCAGCTATGACGGCGGTCTGTAAATAATCGAGTCTGGACCAGACAATCCAGTGAATAATATCATGAGCTTCGATCCACGCAATTGGGAGCGATGACATGCATCAACCAAGTCAGCGAGCCTGATCACCCGATACCGTTAGTCGCCTCTTACGACAAGCAGAGTCACCTTTTACGGCAAGCATGGGTTGATGAAGACCTATTCTACCCCGGAATCTTCACGGGTCCGTATAAGGATCTATACCCAAGCGTCGCCTTTACAGTAATTAAAGAAGCTGTTATCCATACATTGTGTCTATTTTGTCATACGTCAACTTCTAAGTAATGCCAATCAAACAATTCCACCTACACGTATGTTTCAATTGTACTTGTATAACTCGATCCACTTGAGCCACTTGAATAACTGCAACAGTATCTACGGGTTGTGCTGTAATAGTACCCACAACAGCTGGTGCAGTATATGTCGGTGTAGTAGTACGATGAGCAAGTCTCTCCCACTGCCCCTGAAAGACAAGCAGTCGTTGACTAGTCAAAGATATATGACAACAACCACATTAACGCCTATTGCGCTTTAACGTACGGACAGCTGATACATATATTACATGTAATGACACACAAGGGCGGTCGGGTAGCCTAGTGGTTAAAGCGTTCGCTCGTCACGCCGAAGACCCGGGTTTCGATTCCCGACATGGGTACAATGTGTGAAGCCCATTTCGGGTGTCCTCCCGCCGTGATATTGCTGGAATATTGCTAAAAGCGGCGTAAAACCATACTCACTCACTCACTCACAAGACAGACATGTGCAGGGTAGTGAAAAAGTGCTTTAGTAGTCATGTGGTCGTAGTGGTTGTGGTTGTATTGGTAATACTTTTGTTGTTTGTTTGTTGTTGTTTAACGCCACACTCAGCAATATTCCAGCCATATGACGGCGGTCTGTAAAATAATCGAGTCTGGACCAGACAATCGAGTGATTGACATCATGAGCATCGATCCTCGCAATTGGGATACGATGACATGCATCAATGAAGTCAGCGAGCCTGACGACCCGATTACAACAAGCATAGTCGCCTTTTACGGCAAGCATGGGTTGCTGAAGACCTGTTCTACCCGGATCTTCACGGGTCGGTAATCTTTTGAAAATGGTAGTAGTAAATGTAGTGGTAGTGATGGTAGTAGTAGCAGCAACAGTGGTAGTAGGAGGGTAATGGTAGTAGCAAGTAGTAGTGGGTAGTGATGGTAGTAGTAGCAGCAACAGTGGTAGTAGGAGGGGTAATGGTAGTAGAAGTAGTATGGTAGTAGTAAATGTAGTGGTAGTGAATGGTAGTAGTAGCAGCAACAGTGGTAGTAGGAGGGGTAATGGTAGTAGTAGTGGTAGTGATGGTAGTAGTAGCAGCAACAGTGGTAGTAGGAGGGGTAATTGGTAGTAGAAGTAGTATGGTAGTAGTAAATGTAGTGGTAGTGATGGTAGTAGTAGCAGCAACAGTGGTAGTAGGAGGGGTAAATGGTAGTAGAAGAAGTATGGTAGTAGTGGTAGTGATGGTAGTAGTAGCAGCAACAGTGGTAGTAGGAGGGATAATGGTAGTAGAAGTAGTATGGTAGTAGTAAATGTAGTGGTAGTGATGTAGTAGTAGCAGCAACAGTGGTAGTAGGACGGGTAATGGAAGTAGAAGTAGTAGTAAATGTAGTGGTAGTGATGGTAGTAGTAGCAGCAACAGTGGTAGTAGGAGGGGTAATGGTAGTAGAAGTATGGTAGTAGTGGTAGTGATGGTAGTAGTAGCAGCAACAGTGGTAGTAGGAGGGGTAATGGTAGTAGAAGTATGGTAGTAGTGGTAGTGATGGTAGTAGCAGCAACAGTGGTAGTAGGAGGGGTAATGGTAGTAGTAGTGGTAGCAGCAGCACAAGCAGAAGTGATTTTGTGACCTTCCTATGATCGGTAGTGGTAGTGGTATTGGTGGTGATAGTGCAGTAGTTTTACATGCAGTACTAGCGGTTTGTTTGTTGTTTAACGCGGCACTCAGCAATATTCCAGCTATATGACGGCGGTCTGTAAATAATCGTGTCAGGACTAGACAATCCAGTGATTGACATAGCATCGATCTACGCAATTGGGATACGACATGTATCAATGAAGTCAGCGAGCCTGACGACCCGATCCCGTTAGTCGCCTCTGACCACAAGCATAGTCGCCTTTTACGGCAAGCATGCATTCTACCCCGGATCTTCACGGGTAAGTAGTAGTAGTAGTAGCAGAAGTACGTTCATAATAATCACTCGAAATAATCGAAGCTCCTTCCTTGCATTATGTCTAGATGTTCGAGCAGAAAACAATGTGCAACTTTCGCAATAATTATGTCGTCATTCAGTGTCATTCTGACCTGAGAAAAGCTTCATAGAAATCCCGTGTACATGTGTTACGTGGCCGACGTTGTATGGCAGGAAACACGTACTCATTCACGCAAATTGTATGAATAACGGGTACCTGTTAGGCAGGAAATGTTTCCCTTTCCACGGACACACCTGGTGTCATCACTGTTTTCACTGATCCATTCATATAATTTTTCTCTTTTGTGTGTGTGTGTCTATTACGGTCAATGGAATTTATTTCTACCCCTGGAAGATCCGGGGTAGAATAGGTCTTCAGCAACCCATACTTGCCGTAAAAGGCGACTATGCTTG